ACGAAGGTTACAGTTGCAATACTTTGTCAGTCCCAGAGCAAATCGTTCCACCGGTTAAGATCGTGACCGTAACTGTTGCTATGCAACAAATATTGACCCTGTTACGAATTATGGCAGAGATTGCCCAAATGATTGGAAACCTTCAGGACCTTCCTGAGACGCCTCTCCATAAAATCTGTCCCTGATATATTTCAAAAGCATTTCCTTCGTGAAAACACGAAAAAATGTCTGGAAGGATTCGAGAATTGTAGTACTCCTGGCTCAAACCAAACTTCGATAAAGTATGTTAAATTTCGCACTCGTAAACAGCTTTAAACAATTAACGTTTACAAAATAATGAGAACATTTGTCTAGGAAGGCAATCTGACCACAATAGGTGAAACGGAAGCAAGTTGATACGGAAGCGAGTTAAAAAGGAAGTGAGGTGAAACGGAAGCGAGGTTACCTCTCCGCCGTTTCACCTTGCGGGGAGAGGGTACGGCTACACGTAGGCTATGTCACGAAAGAGGTCATCTCCAACGTGCAACTGACAAATGCTACTTGTACTTATTGAACTGTCCGACAACATACTGTCCGACAACAACTTGGCCAGTGGATAAGAGGAAAATGGGAATTTTTTTTAAACCAAACACAATCGAGAAAATTGTAATTTTTATAATTATGATAAGAACCGTCTCTCATCTCTCTTTTATGTTATCGGCATTTTGATATTCACCATATTCATTAATATTCAGAATAGGCTCTGGTAAAGGTAGATATTACGACGAGGAAGTTCATCTGCCAGGGGACTCTAAGCAACCAGGCAACGAGGAAAATGTCGATGAAAACAATTCTATATATTTCTAAGGAAGTTTGGGAATGGGTGGATGTGTTCACCATCTCAAATGGCGCCAGTCCAACTTCAACTGTAGCATAATTATAGCTTGAGGGAGCAGCGCTGAGTTCCAAATACAAAACGTAACTGATAATTTGCAGACGTCAGTCATCATTCTATTTATAAGTTCCACCAATGGTTATAAAATTTTAAAGATGCACGTACTGAGTTATAGTTCTGCTCAACAAACAAAAGTAAAAGCATCAAAGAAAAGTCAATAATAACTCTATAACTTAAAACAGGCCACGTTCAAATGCACAAGCCATAAAAGATACACGCTCTGTTCAATTTTCTTAAAGCGGAACTTTTTACACATGCATGAATGCGTTCGATCCACTCAAGCCTTAAGAGCGGGAGAATAATCAGTAACGTCCCAACTTAAGAACTTTGCAACGTAATTTCGGAAAATTAAATACGGTTCAGTTATTTTTGTCGAAGCTCCGATTTTCGAGCGAAGCTTGTGACTTCGTCTTCAGAAAGTTTGGCGACGGTTCGAAACTACATAAGAGTAATTTTTTATTCATCAGTAGAGATATATGTACGTTTACAAAGGCAATACTATTCAAAAAATCCTTATGTGCTGAACGGCAAGGGCTCTCGATATTCCATACTTGAACGGCAGGGATAATCCAGCTTCTACTTTAGAAAGCTTAAACTTGAAGCTGTTTCAGTCTTTCTTCTTACGTACTAATTCACCTTCTTTTATTTAGTGTCCATCCAGTATAATCCAGTGTGAAATAACGTATACAATTGAAGACTAAAACAAATGTACCGATGTCTCTCAGGGAGAGAATCAATCAGAATTTGCTCTGAGCATTCTAACTCGGTTTTACTACAAAATAAATTGCACATCTCCTTTCGATTTGAATTAAACAAAATATCTTCTTCACAACATTTCTCAGTCTTCGAAGAAGCAGAAATAAAAAAACCACGCGGGAAACACTTTTCTTCTTTCCATACCTAAACTGAGAGAAAACAGATAGGAAATGGTCTTAAAACCTTTTTACGCTCTCAGTTCTTTTGCACAGAAGATAGCAGCAGGTTTGTGTAATTGTGTATGTGAGGTTAACGAACATGTCACCAGGAATTTGTTGTAATGATGAAAGTAATTCATATAACTCATAGATATGTTTACTGTGCGTAATATACATCTCTTTCCTCCCAACATTGCAAGCAAAACTCCAACTGGGATTAACCAATTGTCAAAAAAAAACCCAAAACTGTTGCTATTTCCATTTCGATCATTTAGGAATGTAATAATGCGATCGATAAAAAAATTGACTTACTTAACTTTGGCGTTCATCGTGTTCTTCAGGGTAATTTGCACTGGTAATAACCTCAATATTTTGGGGTTCTTCATTTCTTATAGGATTTTGCCTCGTCGCTGATAGAGTCTGTTGCTGAATATTCCCTTGCTGCTGTCGAACCTGAACAGCTGTGAAAAACAGTTTCATGTAATACAGGATCCAAAGAAGAAACATCAAACATGCTAAGCTGAAACACTCTTGAGAGAAAAGCATGGCTCTCAGAACAGTTGAACAACAGGAGGAAAGAAACCTGCACGAAATTGTCTGAATGGACTGTCTTTGCGCCGGGGCGACTTCTGATTGTTTGATGAATAATCACGTGTACAGCCTTATTTCAACAACATCAAGCTCGGCTACTAGTGACGTCACGTCATTGCGAAATGGACTGTGACCACTTAAGTTAACACGGTGCCGCTTCAAGTACACAGGTTCAACTCATGTCTCTTTGCGTCCACGGCCTAAATACTCGTTGAAACATTTTATAGGTTTATAGCACAGGACTGTGCTAGAGGAATGTGCGGCGACTTGTGATAATTATATGAATCATCGCGTGTACAGCCTTGTTTCTTAACACCAGTCTATTAGTAAACAAAGAGGCGGAGTCACGACATAGTGAAACGTACTGTAACTTAGTTTAATATAGATCTCACGTAAGGGTCCTTTCATAAAAAATAACGGCCCTTTGTGGTCATGGTCGTAAATACTCGTTATGGCATCCTATAGGATTATAACCGTGAACTCTGGAGTGGTGAAAACCTCAAATAAAGCTTAAAAAGCTAAACCAACATTCGGTACTCATAATGTCGAGTGTTGTCCGATTGATTTAAAATCTTCTTCTCAGTACAATAACAATGTTAAAGTATTTGCAATGTCTACCAATTTCGATTTCATCTCAGTTTTACTATAAATTTATAGGTGTATAAAAAAAATTGCTGGCTCAATTCAGAGATTTTGAGAAGATGAAAATTAACCTTAAATTAAATGTAAAACAGTGGCAACTAACATCATGATGGCAAAATTACATCGACGCAACGGCACGCTGTAGGCCTGCTGCGCGCCCGCGTCCATTAACCTAGTGAAGTAGGTTGAATTTTCCAGTCCAATATAGCAGAAAGCCTAAAATGCCCCTCCGGTAGATACAAATTGGCACTGGTAAGAAACGAATTACGTAAGGAAACCGAAAATCTCAAAAATATCGATTAAACCTCATTGAAACTGAAACATATCGTCAAAACGTCAGAAAAATAGTAATCAGTTGGGAATATCTGTAATTCAACCAAAGAAAGAAAATGACAAGTATGTGAGAGGATCAATGTGTTCTTCAATAAGTGTAATTCATGGCAATTTGTGAGAAAAACAAGCACAAACGAAAGTTTTTTTTTTTTTGCTGTCCGTCTCCTCGATACATAGTTAAGAAAAGGTTAGAAAAAGTCTCCCTCTACGCAACTCTGACATTCATCATTTTCTAAGGATATTTTCAGTGTGGTGGAACTGTGTAATTTTTGATCTCTCGTCTTCTTCTCCTCTCTCCAGTACTAGCCGGCCAACTTTGTTCTTTTCACTGGTACACGATGTTAATTAATGTTCTCTATCGGTTCCCTCTGCCACCAAGCTCTGTCCATTTCAATCATAGGATCATCGATCCACAACACGGTAACAAAGATAAGACTGGAAATCCTTGAATTCACTGTATCCTTGAAAGTTGTCGGCAGAGACGAAACAAGCCGTTTAACTGGCGGTTTAGTCTCTCAAGTACAATTTCAGCTCGATCTAAAATCGGGTTTCTACTTATCTGGCAAAACTTTTATTCCCCAGAAAAGGAAACATGCGTGGAACTAGATCGCTATAGCCAGTAACGTTACAAAACCGTCTCAGGCTGTTGATTAAATTGTCATTGTTTCGTAATACATCTTGGAGAGTAATTCAGATCTTCTGGCCCTTTAATTCATATCAATGCTATTTACTTTACAATATGATACCAGAGATGCCCGAAAACTAGAAAATTATCGAATTATAGTAACCACGATTGTCCAAGGAATTTCCTGACGAGAGGACGTACGCACTTGTGTTTCAGGAGCGACGTTTCGAGACGCTTATCCGGCAAAGATGTGGTAAGGTCCAGCTAAGTGAAAGTACCACGCGCTGATAAACAAAGGCTTACACATGCCTCGTGGAGTGTTTGAAGAAAACTTTGAGACCTTTCCTCCCCGTTTGTTTCTGTGTAGCCTGAACCAATTTCTAGTCATGTAGAAAATTTGCGATGTTTAAGATGATTGTTGTAGTTCCTCCGAAAAACCTTTACGCTCGGAGTAGCCGTAATAATCCACAAAGGAGTGAATTTCTAACCCGCGCTGACTAGACAAAATAGAGAGACTGCGAAAGTCATGCTACAAAGGTAGAAGCTGTTAGAAATTTAGGGAAAGCCAGACTGCAAGGGAACGGAATCGCAAAAGAAGACTAATAGAGGAAGACGAGGACGAGGACGAGGATTGATCAAGTGATTAAGAAACAGCTAAAGATGCGTTGCGCTCCTCTTGTGTAGATTGACTTTGATCATACCTTTTTATAAGATGTCCTAAGAGGAATCAGATCTTTAGCTCTGTGAACAGAACTAATAATTTATGTCTGAAAGCCTCCTCGCATATTTGGAGACAGTATGCCACCGTAACCTGCTGTGTTCTTTGGAGCTGATTTTTAATAGCTTCCTCTCCGTTTGGTCACTGGATGTTATTAATAAAGGGCAGAGATCAAAGTAATCATTTCTTGTCATTTTTTTAGAGCATGTTCTAGAGCACAAGGAAAGGCACGGCGTGCCTTTTCTTGTGCTCTAGGTTTTATTTTGCAGCACAGTTTACTTTTTTTCTGCAGCACTTAACGTTCGGTGGTCATTCAGCTAGTCCACTCTCTAATATGTTACCTTTTTAAGCTTTTATGTACGCACAATACCCCAGAAAGAGATTTAAAATGTAACTTCTTCCTACTGCAGTCAAACGTTATCAAGCAAACAGGTAGTGAGAAGACTCAAACTATCAGGTAAAAGTTGTTATCTTGATCTAACACTTCATTCTGGAAACTTATTTAGCAAGAGATGTGTGAAGTTAGAGGGGAGAATTAACAATCAGTTCTTGGGAGTTAAAGGGTTATCAGTTGGTTTTTATACTTGACTGATGAGCCATTAAGAATTTAGTCCTAACTCGTTCATTTTTGTATCGAGTTCACTTGGAGAATCCTTGATCATTGTGGTGTCTTGCTGAAAGCTTGCTGTGGGATTTTTTACAATATTATTTCATAAATAGATAAAATATTTTGAGTATCAAAATCTATTTCCCAGGTTACAGTAAATTGCGTGGCACTACATAAGCAATTTCTCTTAATTTCCAACTACTCTACGTCTCTCCCTTGGCAACACTGTCAAATAAGTTCCTAATGCTTTTATCTGGCACCGTAGCGGCGCTTGAGGCAAACAGCTATAATTAAAGTTTTGCAAGAGGAAGAATTCCAGCCGCACAACAAACTTCATCTGCCGCGCGTGTCCCAGTTTCAATCGCAGTAGGTACAGTCGAACATGACCTTGAACTTGTGGCTTCACCCGCAAAGAACAAGTGATCGTCAACAGGACTGGCGAGCACGTGACGGAGTTCGTAAGCATGCGCAGTGGGCGAGGTATATCCCCGCGAATGTGAGGATGATTTGACCAATGGAAGTACACGAAGTCCATGAACGAGTCGCTAGCAGGGCTTGGGTCCGAGGAAGTGCTGTAATGAAAGAATGAAAAAGCAAAGTTACAGCAGCACTTAACAGAATGCAGGAGGCGTATTACAGTGCAAAAATAGTTACTTCAGTCCTATTCCATAATCGCGTCAATCAGTTTCCAATTTTTCTTTTCAGGTTTTGAAAAGCAGAAATTAAGTAAAAATAGCATAATTTTCAAAACCGAGCATAGATTTAGCCACAATCTATTAGGGCCTACTCATCTTTGCGGAACATTCATACCCAAATATCTCATCCAGATGACTCAAAAATCCTCTCAACACTTCCTGTCCGCTGAGATACCGTTTCTCTTCCGCGGGCTCAGCAGTTTCAAACCCGACAACCACGTGACATTTTTCGTCACTGTCGGGACAATCATGTGAGCAAGTCCATATCTCACTAGCGAACCCACGAACGCTGTAAATTTGATGTAGCTTCTCCGGCCAGAAGCGGCGTTTGAAACGACAAGCGATTTTCCACGCGCCTAGCATCTGTATAGTGCGTATGGCCTCGTTCTTGTCAGCGGGAAGTGCTGGAGTGAAGGTTATGTCGCCATCTTTGAGGACTGTTAGTGGTACGGTAATGATCACGTGCTTGGCGGTCATCTCCCGGCCATGTTGATTTTTCAGAAGAATTCGTCCACTGTTGTTGGATCTCACCCTGTCTCCTGCCCAAAATATATGAATCCAGACATTCTTTCCTCGCCAAATATTTGTTAGCATGTGAATCCTTAAGCCCTCTTATATTCCATTCAAATGCAACTTTTTTAGGAGGACAAGGAAAAGGTGTTAAAATAAAAAAATGTAACCATCGCTAAGATACAAAAGCTTTGTAATAATCATATAGAAGCACAACAACTATGCCAACAATTTCAGAAAGAGGTTAACTGCATGAAACTCTCATGAAAGGACGAAACTCAAATCTAACAAAGGGAAAATGTTACACACAGGCAACCACAATTCTCTGAATAAACTACTGCTATAAATCAATTGCGCGCTGACAGTTTCCTGAAATAAATAAAAACTAAAACGCAAGAGCTAACCTTTCCAAACAACTTCCTTAACCTGCCAGTTAAGACGCTTATCCACATCCATACTGTTAACCAAGTAGTACTTCACCAGTTGTGAGTAAGATTCTGCGAGTCTAAAGGAAAAAGTTTCAATGACAAAGAGCGTTGGTACCTTGTACCAAAACAACTTCAAGTAAACAACTCAGTGTATGAAAAATTGACTACGACCCTGGTTTATCTTCAGAATACCACGAATTCTACAGGCAGACATTTTTATCACGAAATCGTAAACTGCCGCTTTTAACCCCAGGACTTATACAACCTCGTAAGGGGTCTTTGGTGGGCTATAAACCTGGGGGATTATATACGAGGGGGCTTATAACCGGAATAGAAAAAGCGCTTCGAAACGAACTATATAATATAGCTAATCAAAATGCGTTTCCCATTTACTAGTTTTTGATCAAGCTTCAAATCGTCATAAAAAAAACGAGTTTATTTCAATGCATTTGGAACAGAATTAAAATTTATCACTCGAACAAAACTAGCATGTAGTAAAACGGAAGTTCAGTTCAGACTTTTCCCTTGAAGTTTATCTTTGCTTTCCTATTGTTACAATTTTAATGTCTAAATCACAGCAGAGTTCTTAACTATCAAAACAAGAAAAGCTAGGAAGGCGATTGAGCGCTGTGTTAAGCAACAGAGTACTTTTCGCGAGTTAAGCCCTGTAGGAAAGTAAAGTTAAAATGAGGTTGTCTTTTTAAAAAAAGAACCAATTCAAAAACTATTTTACCTGCAATCTTCAATTCCCCACTCATATTTGGACTCCATTCTCCTCCGCCCTTCCCGCACTCCATAGTAATCCAAGGATCCTGCAGATATCTTCATCTTCCACCAATCAATTACATCCAACACGTCACGTGACAAGCCTTTCTCTTCAAGTCTCACCTTCACAGAATCAGACAAATATTCCGTTTCCTTTTCTTGATTTCTGTATTTGCTGTTGATCAATTCGGCCCACGCTTCTCGAGCAAGTCTGATTTCCCGTTTATTACTTATTCCTTTGTGGAATAATTTTTCTCCTTCTTCCCCAGCTTCACATTGAGGGGCCTGAAAAAATGACATGTGCGTAAAATTTATCTGAAAGGCTTTTATGCATTAGGATGAAAATCTTCTATTATTAGAATGGCACTCGAAACAATTTTCACCATCATGAGCCTTTCCACGGCAAAAATGTTCTCAGGTGAAAGGAGATTGGCGACTTCAAAAAAATTCACCTAACGTATAGTGCACACCTCACTCCATTCCCCCTCAAAACGTGTTCATGAAAGATTATCACTTTAACATTAACTTAGTGCTTGTACAACATTTATCCATGCAGATGGGAGGCTCAGCAACAACATACAAGCTTTGAATCTGTTTCACAAGCCAAATTTTTTGTAATTATAACAAATAATAATAGAGAGATTTATTTCGGTGGAGAAAATTAAAAAATATACCTTTTAACTTAATTACGAGAAAGGGTACAAGACTTAACTTACTGGCAGAACAACCCAGCCATTGTCACATGCAATCTTGTTCACCACAGTGTTAGATCCATGGATAAACTCTCCACCAAGATCAATTGGAGCAAACCCTTCAAATGGCTGAACTTGCTTCACTCTTCCACCTGGGTTAATTCAAAGTATATCCAAGTAAATATTAGTTCCTGATCATGAGGGTAGATGCCCCCTCCCCCCCCCCCCCCCAATAGCCCTAGAACTGTATCAGATGCAATTATCAAATGATTACAGCAGTTTCATGTCTTTTCTTGGAGGATATCAGTGTCACACTCAGCTGCACCTCATAAATCACTTTTTATTCTAAGACATTTTGGAGTCATCTATGATCTATTACTGGACAGATGTGTGGCAATGTGGAATCTGTAAGTTAAATTTTCCACAAGTTTTACCTAAAAAAAATTGCAAAGATACCTTAAAAGCTTAGCTTCTTTTCTTCTAGGCAGCAAGCTTTAGTTTTGTAGGCTCTTGAGAACTACAACTGCATTTTTATAAACCACTTTTCACATAAGAGCATTTTCATTTGCAATCACTTGATATGATCTTTTCAAAATTGATACCCTTTACCTAGATAATTGGATGCCTCCAAAAGGACAACAGGAATACCAGCCTTAGACAAAGAAGCTGCTGCAGAAAGCCCAGCCAGCCCTCCACCAACAACCACAACCTGATTTGCAGGAGAAGGTCCTACTCTTCCTAAAGAAGATCAGAAAAAGGTTAAGTTTTATGTTCACAAAGACCCATTTTTGCCTGAAGCTTAACCAGGTTTCCACTGAAACTGAAATTAAAGAAGTAAAAGTAGAGCTTGAGATGGCACAGCCCCTTTTCACCTGGCCACTCAACTACAAAAGGGAAAAAATAAATTTTAGCTCTAACAATTGATATTGAAATTATTTATTATTGACAAGAGCACTGCATACATACCATTCCAAGGAAATGAGGGTTGGACAATATTTGAATCCAGGCTTGAACTTTCTTCAAAATTATTCATTAAGGCTTTTACTTGCCTCATAGTTTGTTTTCCATAATCGGATGAATTCAAAATAGTGACAATATCTTCACAAAAGTTTAGTAGTACAGATGTTGCAATGTAGCCCCATTTGATACCATTTTCAACCTGATAGTTAGGAACTAAATTTGGCCTGTAAACAATCAAACAAGTCCAACACTGACTTCCAAAATCAGAAGAAATAAGATCAGCCTCTATCCATCGAAATCCTGCTATGTAGAGAGACTTGCAAAGACCTGATTCTGCACACTTGTTGGTAGGTTTAGAATTATGCTTCTTTTTAATCACACAGAAGATTTCCTTGCAGTTATCAAAACCACACCGTTGAGCATACTGTAAAAAAAGCAATAATAAATGCACATTAACCCTTCACATCCAAACATCAGTATATATATTCTCCATTCTGTTCTCTATACATTTCCTTAAGTGCTGACAAGGAGAATTTGTTTAACAATCAAGAGCTCCTCTAGTTGGTGATCATTTCCTTTATTCTTGTGACCTTAATGTTTGATTCAAGGGTGATATTGTGAGGAGAAATTAGAATCCAATCACTCTTAGGAGTTAAAGGTTAAAGTAAGTCTAATACTTGTGGTAGTCTCCTGAGAAAATCAAGAGAAGTATGGTTTATGATGCACTCTCAACATAACTTAAGGTGCACAACTGGGTAGAGAAATTGTTCAATCAACATGTAATTTCTCCTTACAACATCCAAATTATTATCCAACAAACAGCTAATGATAATACTAATAATAGGTATATTTAACACCAATTTCTCCTAACTAATTTACAAGGAAATGTGTAGCCACTAGAAAGGAGAATTGACAATCAGATCTTGGGAGTTCCCTTTAAAAAGAGTTAAGGAAAAATACTCCATATCTCAAGGATGCAACCTTAGATTTAAATAACACTGTACACCCTAACATCAGTTACTATATTCTCCACACTTTTCTTTAAACATTTCCTTTAGACTGACGAGGAGAATTTGTTCAACAGTTAAAGCTTTTTAGGTTGGCAATCATTTCCTTTACTCTCATGATCTCAATAAATAATTCAGCGGTGTAACTGCTAGGAAAAATAAGATGCTGGTCACTCTTATGATTTTAAGGGTTAACGCTGGTTAGTGCCATTCTGGATGATAATGAAAGTATCCAAGCTTTCCTTTACTTCAATCTATTAAATTTTTGGATCTATTTAAGATTGGTCAGGTACTCTTTCAATCAATTTAGTTTTTCAAAATTTGGTTAGAAAAGCTAGTTGACACATGTTATAATAAAAGTGCAGGCAGAGAAAAATAAAGAATTATCCAGTTCTTTTGGCACTTCTGCAAAAATACAGAGTAGCAGTGTATTAAGCAGTCACCCTCTTTAAGTTTCACTAGTGACTTAGACAGAATTTCTCCTTACACTATCAGTACAATATCAAGCAGACAAGTAATGAGAATAAAGAAAAATATCAATTAGGGGATTATTGGTTGATCCAATACCCAATTCTCCAAACTAACATCGTTGGAATTGTATGGCAGACAGTAAGGAGAATTTCTGAGGAGATCTTGGGATTTAAAGGGTTAAGTGGTCAGTTTTCAGAGTTCCAACTGTCTTTTGGTATTGTCCTCAACCTGCACTGAACAGTCACTTGAAGTGGAACAACTCAGACAAATAAAACTAAGAAAAATCTTCCACATAACATTAATCCATTTTTGTCTCCCAAAGTCAATGTTTTTTTGTATTTTTGAGTAAGTGTATGCACATTTATCTATTTTTATAATACCCTTATTCTGAAAACATTTGTATTAACCCTTTAATTCCCAAGATCTCATTAGCAATTCTCCTTACTGTCTGGCAAATGACTCTCATTATGTTAGTTTGGAGAATTTGGTATCAGATCAATTAGTTGTCCCATAATTGACATTTTTCTTTATTCTCATAACTTGTCTGCATGTATTGTAAGGGGAAAGTCTGTCTTGGTCACTCACTGGAGTTAAAGGATTAAGCTGTCACCACACCATTCCCTGTGGGATTAACTGCTTAATTCAGGTTTGACTGTATTTTGCCCTCTCAGCCCCAGAGTGACCAAATTTGGTGTCCCTTCTTTAAGGATTACAATGGTTAAATGTTTGATTATGAGAACAAACGTCTTGGCACTTGACTTCTCCCTTCCTTACCATCTGCCATAATTCTTGTGACTTTAGTTTGGAGAATTTGGTATTGGATCAACTACAATCCCCTAATTGGTATTTTTCTTTTTCCTCATCACTTGTCTGCTTGATATTGTGACGAAAATTTTTATCTTGATCACCCATGGGAGTTAAGAAACATTGTTTTATTTAAGGGTTTTATTTTTTGGTCACCTAATATGATTCAACAGGTATTCTTTAATATTATTAATAATAAATTATTTTAAACTGAAGTTTGTGTTGCCTTTAATAGCTAAACACCTTAAGGAAATAAGACACTTAACAAACCAGGACTTATTTTATTAAATCAAATCACCCTTCCTTAAACAAAACAATATTTAAATTAGGAATACGAAAAAAAATACTCATTCTAATTATAATTATGGAGGGTCTTGGCGCATTTAGTGACGGATGAAAACAGACGATGACCTAATTTTCCCAGCTCAGTGGTTCACCTATTAAAGTTGTTCCCCTCTAATTATTCAATTATAATAGCAAGAACGAACGGCATCTAAAAGGTAGAAACTGACCTTATTTACCACTGAAATGGCCTCGTTTACTAACTGCAGTCTGATATGATTCAGTTCTTCGAGTTCGTTGAATCGCTCAGCTGTAGAAATAAACTTTAAGAAGCCATAGTTTCCGCCAGCAAAGTACTGCACAAATATGATTTCACATGCAATGTGGGATTGGTTCTCCTTTGCTGTTTTCTCCCTTGAAGCCACCAAAACAGTTTTCATTCGATTTTTAGCTAAATATTGTCTTTGTTGAAGGAAATCCCTAAGGAAGGCTCTATCGGTATCGCTGATGGATTTAACAGACTTCAATAATTCCTCCTCTATCTCAGGGTTGAATTCTTCGCTAAAGTTGACAATTCGCATGATGAACAATTACAAAGCATTCAGAGGCAACCAATCTACTAATTCGGCATTAATCTGCGACGAGTACCCCGTGGACGGCTACAACGCGAGAAAGACTGGTACCTAGTATCTTTTAATAGACAAGTCGAGTGAGTTGGAGCATAACCATATCGCAAGTATTTCTCGATTTGGTTGAAAATACAAAACTTGCTTCTTCTGGCCCGTAAACATTATCCCCAAAATGACTTCAGTGCAAGACTTTCTTGTTCTATTGGTTGTCATTCTTCTGTTGATGATCCTCTATTTCTTGATGGAAATGGACAGAGCTGTGCGGCATAGGGTAACGGCAAACAATAATGAGCAGCGTGAAGTAATAAGACCGGAGTTCATCAGGAATATGGAGGGACGACGAAGAAGGGACAACGAAAATCATTGCGTTCCGCATAACAGGAATCGTCCCACAGAAAATGATGAACGCCAGGGCTAAAAAAACAGGGTATGCTGTTTAAGAACCTTCTTCTGTATCAGTTGGATAAGTTATTAAAAATACATTAACAATTTCTGAAAAACCAAAACCTTCCGTAGAATATTCATGACGAATATTTTTGACATCGCTTCACTGTCATTGTCAAGTCCATTAATATTGAATTGAATTGTACAATCAAATGTTTCTCCAAATCTGTTCTTAAACGCAGTTAGATAAGTTTCAGAAACTCAATTTCATGTAAAGATCGTATAAATTTCTCAGAGATTCGTTCGCTTTATTGTTAGCCACTATTAATACTCAGTTGGGTTGAAATGTCCACATTAGGATCGAATTAATTACTATTACTCTATCCGCGCTTTTGAGGAAAGCTTCCAAACACTTCTCTCGTTAAATGTTTATAATAATAATAATAATAACTTTATTTAAGTGTCAGTGTATTTTAGCACTGCTGTGCTAATTGGGGACACTGTAAATAAGGAAACAAATATCGTAACAGAAACTCGTTAAAAACCCCAACTGGTAGGAGGCAGACCAGTTGGCTATTTACAAAGCGTGCAGGAGTTGAATTCGGGGCCACCGAAGACAAATCCATCCAGTGGCAGGGAGGAGGACTTGAATCCGGGACCTCCGGCTTACAAGTGCAGCGCCCTAACCACTAGGCCACGCTCGCCTCTTCAAAACTGTTTACAACAAATTCTCGACTTTCTGTTCATTTTCCCTGTGCAGGTCCTCGAAGACGAACGAATCGAGGGAACTTACTGTTTATGGTACTTTGACGCCGGAAAGGCGTAAATACGACATATGAACTTTTTTGGTTGTATAGTGAAGAGCCTAGTTTGGTCATTTTCAGAAGAAATAGGTAAAGTGGAATAGCTGAACGAGATGAACAGATAAATTGTATCAGTATTTTATTGTTTTTATGGCTCTGAGAAGCTTTATCTTAGAAATAAAAGAAAGGGGCTGATAGTATTTTCTGTCTCAGCTTGTCGAGAATTGTTACTAGCCTGATGAAGCTTCTAAGTCATGTCTGTATTTTTTATTTTTATCCAACAGCACGAAGTAGTGTACAAATAATGCACGAATCAACAACAAATATAGACAGGTTTTTATACAGTACAAAATAATCATCTGTCCAAATCTAGCGTGAAACTTCGCCGAAAACGAGGAACTGCTCGTAATCTATGCACTTGCTATCTGTAACAAGAATGAAGCTTGTAGGTCTTTATTTTGTCGCAGTGTATCTAATTACATGGTCTACTAGTCAGGCTAGGGTTACCTGTAGGCAGAGTCATGGTCAAGATATATGTCTTTTGATTGTTAATTGATAAATGTTCCTGTGATTTTAAATCTCTATTTTGTCCTCAAATTGGATTTGATGCGTCGCCTTAACCTGGTTTACATGAATACATTGTCCTAGTGAAGATAGCCTATCATGCTAGTAGCATTGCTTCATTTTTTCCCCAAATTACGCTTGTTTTTGAAAACTATGCTACTCTCCCTTAAATTATGTTTTACGGAAAAAAAACAATATATGTCCAAATTATATATTTATGGTTAAAAAAGCACGATATCTTCTGTATTTTGAGTTACGTACTTACTCTGATAAAACATAATTAACTACTGCACTTAATTCAAGACTAGAGGCGGCGACTAAATGTGTCAAAATGTACGATGTTAGAAAGCATCTTGTTTCTCTTCGACGCCATCATGTTGCTTCTGAAAGTGGGAACTGGGGCAGACGCAATCTTAATAATACTATTACTACACCCTGTTATACTCTCCCACCGACGCAGCACTACAGTTTCTTTAGAAACTTACCCCCTTTACTGAAAATAATCAATCTTAGAGATCGAACAAGTTTTGACTCTGGTAATTTCCCCTTCCAAAAAACTAAAATTATACTGCGTATGCTACTAGGGCTAAACCGAAAGGAAGGGGTTACTCTCAGATTACTCTTTGGAAAGAATTATTTGTAGGACACAAAAGATGGCTTGCGTTTTTTTTTTCCTACACGGAAATCTACGCATCCCAAGCATTACCTACCTCCGCAGACCTACAGGATCTTTAGAAATCACTAGAGTAAATCCCGAAATAAACTGTTTTGTTTGTGTATGTACAGACGTTTGTTTCAATCATAATTTCTAAGAGCTATGCACTGGCACGTGAAAAAGGCTGACTGACGTCAACTGAAATCTGTTTTGATCATTTTTTTAAACATCATTGGTCCAAATGGTTTCGTTTTTGACTGGCTGAGCACATTGTGATGAATCGTGATTGAGAAAAATATCATTTAGGGGATTATTAATTGATCCCATACCAAATTCTCCAAACTAACATCATATGAATTGTATGGCAGACAGTAAGGAGAATTACTAAGGAGATCTTGAGAATTAAACTGTTCTTTAGAAACTTACCCTCTTTACTGAAAATAATCAATCTTAGAGATCAAACAAGTTTTGACTCTGGTAATGTCCCCTTCAAAAAACTAAAAACATACTGCGTATGTTACTAGGGCTAAACCGAAAGGAAGGGGTTACTCTCAGATTACTCTTTGGACACAAAAGATGGCTTGTGTTGAACATGCCGTTTTTTTTTCCTACACGGAAATCTACGCATCCAAAGCATTGCCTACCTCCGCGGACCTACAGGATCTTTAGAAATCACTAGAGTAAATCCCGTAATAAACTGTTTTCAGAGTACGCAGCGAAAATATGCGGCCATATTTTATGCAAAATGCTCTTTATAAGACGGGAAAAGTGTCTCGAAAATCCATTTTAAAAAAATTTTTATAAGCAAACAATTTCTGTGTATGCACAGACGTTTGTTTCAATATTATTTCTAAGAGCTATGCACTGGCGCATGAAAAGGTTGATCGACGTCAACTGAAATCTGTTTTGATCATTTTCTTTAAACATCAGTGGTCCAAATGGTTTCGTTTCTGGCTGGCTGAGCACATTGTGATGAATGGAAAGCAAAACATTTTTTTTTTCGATGTAACAGGCCACGTGTATACATTCTTTTTGTGCACCCATGGGTATTAAGTTGCGTATGAAAAACTGCAAGGAATTTTGTACTCTTGTTTGTGGCCTGGTGAGCACATTGTGATGACAGCTAAATATAGGTCTCTTGTTGATCACTTCAGTTTGGCTTTTGTATCGCGTGGAAAGTTTCAGTACTACGGCTTACTTGTTGCTCTTCTGCTGGCTCGTTCTGAAAGCATTCTCCACATCTTGCTCACTATTCAAGACTTTTTCAGTCTATTCGTTGACTTTCTTACGCTAATGATCCTTTATATCCTGATGGAAAATGACAGAGCTGTGTAGCAGAGGCAACAGGCAAAAATTAACGAGCACATGTCTTTGGGTGCTTATGCGAGAAAATACGGTACCTGAAGACATATGACAGATTTTTCCTGTCGCGTTAATCTATCCTTCTAAGTCGCCAGAAGTCTAAGAGTTTCTAAACTTACCTACCCTTGACGGATCTTTCCAAACCGGCCTAAACTATATGCCGTCGATCAACTTTTCCCGCGCTATTTGCGAAACATCCGACCTCATAAAATGCACTGTATGTGCAAGGAAAATATTGACTAGATGTAAGAGAATATAAATGGCATACATGTTTATATTCTCTTGCTCAACGTTTTATGAAAATTGGTTTTAAAAAATATCATAACCAAGCATTTTCTTTGTATACGTAGACCTTTGTTACAACGGCAAGGTTTGATTGAATGATAATTCAAGTTCGCTAAAAGGCCTGAGGCTACAATTTGTTGTCGAGACGAGGGTCGCTCTTTATCATAAAAAGAGCTGGATTTGACTTGAATGTTGCTGCTGACTGCTTAGATCGAGTGGAAAACTTTATACGGCTTGTCGCGCATCATGCTTCACATCATGCTTATAATTCAAGGCTTTTTCGTTATATTCGTTGTAATTCTTCTGACGATGATCCTGTATCTATTGATGGATATTGGCAGAGCTGTGCAGCGGAGGGTTATGGCAGAAGTTCACGAGCAGCGTGCAGTAAGAAGACCGGAATTGAATAGAGACGGAGAGAGAAGAAGAGGGGAGAACGTAAACTACAGCGTCCCAACAAACAGAAATCGGCATCCCACGGAAAATGATGAACGCCAGAGCTAAGAAACCAGGGTAAGCTATTTTAGCATCTTTTTCTAAATCAGTTAGATAAGGATTCCAGAACACTTTCTACCCAATATGTTCACTTTGTTTCCCACCACCCCTTATCTGCGAAGTCTTGAAGAAACGTTGGTAATTTATCAAGGAGTTTTTAGATCGCTTTTGTTGAGCTAGTTACTTTCCTCTTTCCGCTATAGAGGAAAGTTTTTCTTAGTACTTCTTTCGTTAGCTTTCCTGCTCATTTTCATTTTTTCTGTGCAGGTCCTTGGAGAAGTCGGATAACGTGTTTTGAGAAGAGAGATGATATCTAAATTCATACTTGCGATGACTGAGGCTAGGTTTTTGCTGTATATTTGAAAATGTTGTTATTGAAAATGTAAAGAGATATGTAGCAAAATAATTCAATGATGAACAAATAACAAAGTGTGTTGGTCTGATGGTATTTTTATGCTTGTATGGTTCTGAGAAGC